AGAAAGATGAAGGAAAAGATCGCATCCACTCTCTCGACGGACTCAACTTGAGATACATTCACAAAGACTTTGGAACTTTTAAGAAGCGCTTACACAACCGGATATACCTTTGCAGTCCTACCGAATCTCCACTTTGCGTATGTCGTGATCTGTAAACTTTTTCTTTCTTAACTTTCTCTTCCCTCTTTCTCTCTCTTTCTCTCTAACTCTCTATCTCTCATCCCCCTTTTTATTTTCTATCCTTTCGTTCGACCTTCGAAAAAGAGTTCGACCTTAACGCGCGCGGCCTTTTCGTGGTTGGACAAAGAGGATAGAACTTTTAAAGCTCTTCGAAAAAGAAAAAAAAGAAAAGAAAAAGGAAAAGAAAAGAAAAGAAAAAAAGACAAAAAATAGCTCCTCCCTTTGTGAACTTTCTCTATCGGATAGGAAAAAAACGAATCGATCGATAAAATTAATATTAATAATAATCATAATGAAATCATAGTGCAGTACTCTTTCGAATTACGCTTATCGATGTTAAAAGCTCTCTCTCTCTCTCTCTCTCTCTCTCTCTCTCTCTCTCTTTCTCATTCTTGCTCTTGCTCACTTCTGATATTCTATCGACCAATAAAATCGTTCTCGACAAATCAAACGGAGACACGAAGCGACAGCGTCAGTCGTAAAAGCGTATAGAACTTTAACTTTATTAGCAATCTTTTTAAAGAACTAACTGCGAATATCATTTTATTATATATCACCCTCATTTGAAATAATAATCGCCCTATGGAACATCGTATCTTTTAATATAACTTAATACATTTATATATATATATATATATATATATATATATATATGCGTAATAGAAATTTATAATACTGAAACATTTGAATAAAATAATCATTATCATTTTAATGAACTAATAGGGAATGCAATTTTAAGAATTTTTATAATTGATAAAATTGTAATATCGAGATAATAATTTCTACATGTCAACGTAATTGTACGTAGAACATCTTCTTCTTTTTTCTTTTTTTTCTTTTTTCCTCTTAACGCAATACTCGTCACTATTATTATTTTCATAATTTTTCTTTTTCTTTATCATTATCTTTGATCTCTACTCACGGCCAATCCTCCCCACCTCCTCGTATATCACTGCAACTCGTAGATCGCTGAAATTTTTTTTCTTTTCCCCACCTTTTCCTTTCATTTTTCCCATTCAATCAAATCAATTTAATCTATAACATTTTTCCTAACATTTATACGTTCCAATCAGATAAATAATATTATCTTCAAATACAAGCGATAACGTTATTTCACGATAACATTCACCAGTAATTATTTTTATTTCAAAAAATGAAGTCTCAATCGTACTGAGATCCAATATTAAATTGATAAATCATATTCGATAGAAAAAAAAAAAAAGAAAAAAAGAAAAAAAGAAAAAAAGAAAAAAAAACTGTCACATACACCATCACAAAATTCCATGGCAGAAGGAGAACAATTAATACGATTGAATTTCAAATAAAATAACTATATGTAACTATAATAATAAACGATAACAATACCAATAACAACAACAATAATAATAATAATAATAATAATAATAATAATAATAATAATAATAATAATAATAATAATAATAATAATAATAATAAAAAAATCGATAATGCAATAGACCATTAGAAAATGCAAATTTATTAGAAATCCCGTTCGTTTTCTTTCCGTTTTATTTCTTCTCCCATTTTGTTTTCCTTCTTTTTATTTTTTTTTCTTTTTTTTTTCGAATAATCGAAAGCAAACTCAATATGGAATAAAACGATTCGAAAAAAATGTTGAGTGTGATGCTCGCTCGGCTCTTAATCGTCGAGCAATGGCGAAGCGGTCAACGAGAATAGAAAAACAAAACAAAAAAACAAAGAGAGACAGAAAGAGAAACAGAGACAGAGAGAGAAAGAGAAAGACAGAGAGAGAGAGAGAGAGAGAGAGAGAGAGAGAGAAAGTTTGTATGTGTGTATAGTACGAGTGTGTAGGAGTCGAATTTGAAGAGAACGCTATGCCAAAACGAGATGATAGAAACTCCAGGGCCAGTTTCGCTGTGCGTTTTCCGTCTAACGCGATGCGACGGTTCGTTCGATCACTTGTCAAATCGTAGATCAACGAGAGAACGAAGTAATTGCATTTGCATGTAAACTCAATGACACCTTCTCTCTCACTCTCTCTCACTATCTATCTATCTATCTCTCTTTCTCTATCTCTATCTCTCTTTCTCTCTCTTTCTTTCTCTCTCATACTCATACCATTTCCGTTTCCTCTTTCTCTCTCTCTCTCTCTCTCTCTCTCTCTCTCTCTCTCTATCTCTCTGTCTGTCTCTCTGTCTCTCTCTCTCTCTCTCTCTATCACTCTAACTCGTCATTTCAACGCCGACGCAAAACGTTCGCGTATTGCTCTCGAATAGAATTTTTCGCACGAAAGTCCATCTACGAGAGAGATAGAGATAGAGAGATAGAGAGATAGAGAGATAGAGAGAGAGAGAGAGGGAGAGAGTGAGCTGATAAACGTGGAACAAAGCCGCGTAAATTCAATACGAGTTTACGACTCCCTCGACTGACATAACGCCAACGAGATGTAGACCGTCTCTCTCTCTCTCTCTCTCTCTCTCTCTGGCTCGTTACGTCGTTACACAAATGTAAATCGTATTACTGAACTATACTATGTCTCTCTCTCTCTCTCCCTCTGTCTGTCTCTCCCTTTTGACGAACCCAACATTATTTTTCCTTATTATCCAACGCCATTTTTGATGATAACGAACGAACGAACGAACGAACGGGACTCGCGCTTTCATAAGATTTATCGTCCCACGAAATTACCTTCGGATAGAAAAATTGAATTTGTCGAGAAATTCGACAGAAAAATTCCAATTTTGTTCGTAAACCGTTCCGTATACCTATATATACATATATATATATATATATATATATATATATATATATATATATGCATATATATATATATACACATACATATATTTTCCCTTTCTCTCTCTTTATCTCTCAATCTGCCATTCACACATACACACACACACACATATATATATATATATGTATGTATATATGTATATGTAATGTATAATACGAACAAATTAAATGCCATTCGCGCAAACAGTATTACGAGGATGGCGGGTGGGAGGGATAGTAGCGAATCATTAATTATGTTATCGGACACCAATTTCGCGTAAGGGAAAACGCAACTAATTATTGGAAAGGGTCTATCCGATCTCGCGTGGCAAGGCCTTCGCATTATGGCCTTCGTGGAAAATTAGTCACCCTAGTAATTTGTTCAAATTGTCGATGAAATCGAGCCGAGCCAAGCAGAACAGACCAGAACAGAGCAGAGTCTGGCTGCCTCGCTTACTGGTTGGTACAACGTGTAAGCTTAAAGCTCTGGACTGAACGCATAATTCAAACGAACGCCACACACGGCAATGCCACAATGTTAAAGCGATCTATACGCAGGGACCGCGTTTTGTTTCGTAACGTTACCGCAATAGACGTATTTATATTGTCAATACTTATTCATTGACATGTATGTATATATATATATATGTATGTATAATTAAGATAAGATATCATCAAATCTCAACTGTTATAATATTGATCGTTATCGTATCGATTAATACTGATCGATCGATCGATCATATTTAAATTTGATACCTCTTCGAATTAATGTCCATTACATTTTGTTTTAAATAGATATATATATATATATATATATATATATATATATATATATATATATACAATAATTAATATGTGTAAGTATTATAAATAATAATACTTTGCCGATTGATATTCTTCTTCTTTAACTTCATTAATATCATTTTAATAATTCATCAATGAATAATAATAATAATAATAATAATAATTAAGATATAAAAGTTCATCGATAATTTAATAAATAAATTCTATACTTTATGATCAATCTTTTTATGATATTGGTATAATATAAAATTAATCGTTCGAATAAATTATGATAAATAAACGCAAATTGAATTGTAATATTTTTTTCCAGTTTTCTTTTTCTTTTTCTTCTTCCTCATCTTCTTCTTCTTCCTCATCTTCTTCTTCCTCTTCTTCTTCTTCTTCCTCATCTTCTTCTTCTTCTTCTTCTTCTTCTTCTTCTTCTTCTTCTTCTTCTTTTTCTTCTTAATATTATTAAAATGGTCGCATATAATTTTTATTTTATGTTATTTTATTTGTTTACTTTTTTTATTTTCTTTTTTTTTTTTTTTTTTTTTTTTAATTTTATTTTATAATTAATAATATAGAATTACGATAAAGATCGTGAAACGATCGATGATAAATACGAATGAACAAAACAAACAAACAATTTATTCATACGAGTACAATTTGCAAAAATTAAATATAATAAATACTACGAATTCCGTAACTTCGAATCTCGTTAAAATCATTGTAATAATTTAACGCAACGTGAATCATTAATAATAATAATAATAATACTAATAATAATAATAATAATTAAGATATAATTGTCGAGAAATAAACAAAATAAATACTTTCATCCTATTACGTTAATTAATTGTATCCGTAACTTACGATCGACGGGATATCCCAATAAAATTTTCATCGTCGAACTGTTGTATTCCTTTTTTACTTTTCTCTCTCTCTCTCTCTCTCTCTCTTCCATTTTCTCTCCCCACCCTTATCACTTCCCTCTCCATATCGCTCTCTCCCTTCCACCAGTTCCGTCCTCCTACATATTATTTCACTTCGGATTTTTTTCTTTTTTTTTTTTTTTTTTTTTTTTTTTTTTTTTTTTGTTGATGTTTTACCTTGGCCTCATAAAGATCATCGTTTTTCTATCGATAAACGTATCGTTTATTTTTTCGTAGAAACGTGACTAATGTTCCGAAACGTTAACGTGGATACAACCGGCGATACCCGAAAGATATCAGAAGATGTGAAATTCGCGTAAGAGAAACGATTCGTAAAATGGCGCTTACTCAGGCTGAATCCGGAATCCTTCACGTGGATGACCACCATCGGCATCAGTACCATCACGATGAGGTTTACGATGTGGAACACCATTCCTGGGCCATGAGATATGATATCCTGCGGCAGAAAATACAGACATATATATATATATATATGTGTGTGTGTGTGTGTGTGCATGTGTATATATATATATAACATATACAAGTTACGATCGAATGCCACAGGCTACTAGCAAGTATTCTTTGTCATCGTTATTGTTGCATCGACGAGATAGAGAGATAGAAGTAGAGAGAGAGAGAGAGAGAGAGAGAGAGAGGATTAGAATAAGAAAGAAAAATAAAAAAGATTTTGTCCCAAATAGATATTTAATATTATTCTATTCCTTGAGTTCAAATGATTCATAAAAAGTTTATATCCTCGATAAATTTCTCAGTCTATCCATATATATTACATATAAATAAATAAAAATTTGTAATTCTTAAACTATGTGTGAATCTATGATATGATTTCTTTTTTCTTCTTCTGTTCTTTTTCATTTGCATAATTCTTTCGTTTAAAATGATTTTATTAGGTTGGAAACTATGAAACGGGCGTTGAATGAAAATAAATAACTAAACAAAAATACCCGTTTCATAATTTCCAACCTAATATTATTACATTTGTTGAATCGATCGATTCGTTGAAATCATTTTTAATAGGTATATATATATATATATATATATATATATATATATATATATGAATTAAAATGATTAATTTAATGATGTATAATAAGTATGTATCTATGAAATACGAAATAAATATTTAATACGTACATTATTTATCTGATAACGTTAAGGAGGAACATTCTCGTACGAGAGCTCGTGTCGTACTGTTACTAGGACATTTCAATACGATTGACTAATACGTATATGACTTTTCGAAAATAAAGAAGGTCAAATTGGTATCGAACGTGTCTTATCACGTCATCAAAACAAAACAGTTCGGTAGTATGCCTGTTGGTAATATAATAGTATCCTTACGTTCTTGTTTATCTTTATGTAGGTCATTCATACACAGAGTTATATAAAAGAACGAATGAAATTTAAAATAATTAAAGTTACATTATAAAATGTTAATCTATAATAAAAATTTAATTGAATATTCAATGATATAAATAAATATTGATTAAAATATTACGAAGATATTATTATGAGATGAATTTTTATTATTATTATTATTATTATTATTATTATTATTATAAAAATTTTTTGTTTCTAAAAAATTGTCCATTAATTATTCTAATCTCTTTTGACAATTCTTTTTAGATACATTGATATTTACGCATAAACGAAAGATATTTTAATGTTGTAACGAAGAATTGGTTTGTTTAAAAAAAAAAAAAAATATATATATATATAATTTGTTTATTAATTATCGATTAATTTACGTAATTTCATAAATATCACTTGCAATCTGAATTGGCTTTTTATTATTTTTTTTCTTTTTTGCTTTCATTCAATTATTTATTTAAATAACGCAATAACGTCGTTATAATAAAATCGACTTTTTTAAATAATTATTAAAATTGAATATTTTATTTTTGTTTTGTTTTGTTTTGTTTTGTCTTTCTTCGTAATAAAAGATATAATTGTAATGCAATTATTAAAAGTTTTATTATAATTATATTTCCTAATAAATTTGATTTTGTTTAAAACGTCAAATGAATAATTGTCAAAATACAAAATTGAATGATCGAAAACTCGAATGTTTACTTTGATCGCACAAACTTTATTCCATTTATTTAATATAAAATATAATCTATCTGTTAACAGCGATTAAAGTGATTCCTGATAAATATTTAATATCGAAGTAATAATTATAATAAATTTCATAATATATATATATATATATATATATATATATATATATATAAAATTAAAAAGATTTATTAGAAGAATTAAATTAAATATCCTTAACGTTTTAATATTTTCTAATTAATTTTCAATTTGTAATTGATCGAAAAATTACAAAATGTATTTTAGGATAAAGAGAAGAAAGAAAGAGAGAGAAAGAGAAAGAGAAAGAGAAAGGGAAAAAGAAAAAGAGAGAGAGAGAGAGAGAGAGAGAGAGAGAAATTGTAATGGAAAAAAGACACGAACGATTCGAAGTCGAAACATTAAAAAAGAAAATTCAACTGCGATCGAACGATTCCTTTCGAACTGGAAAGAGAAACATAAGAAACCTAAATAGAAGAACTTTTCTCGCAAGACGAAAGATATAGATAGAGAGAAAGAGAAAGGTTCGATTCGAAAAGAAACGATCGAGAATCGATTACGAGTCCAGACGACATATCCCAAGAATCGACTGTTTCTGTTATGAAAGAAAACAAGGAACGTGGCTTTTCCTCAAGGAGAGAAGTTAATCGTGCGATGAAACGAACGCGTCAGAAAAGATAATCCTCTATGATCTTAGACGTGGAAAAGGATGCAGTACCTTCGTTAAGAACAATAAAGGGAAGACGTGAAACATAAAAAAAAAAAAAAAAAAAAAAGAACAAACAAGAAGATAAATAAATATCGAAAAAAAAAAAAAGAAATAATCAATGAACGTTCCTTTCGCAAGGAAAAATAATTCGTGTGAGTATCTCTCAAGAAATTAAATTTTTCCATAGCTAACGACTACCTTTTACGATCGTTCACAAATTTTCCATTCGAAGAATGAAATAGAGAAAATATAATTAAAAAAAATAAAAAATAATAATAACAATAATAATAATAGAAATGAATAATAGAAAAGAAATATTTGTTAACGATAATATTACGTATATCCCCGGTAGAAAAAAATTTTCATTCTCGTTCACGAAATAAATCGTACTCGTTTTCGATATGAATTTTTAAGATAGAAATAAAATAACGAAAAAAAAAAAATAAATAAATAAATAAATAAATAAACAAATAAATACATAAAATAAAATAGAATAAAATGTACAAATAAAGATTAATGACATTGTGGAAAAAAAAATAATTCTTAGTAGAAACTTTTCTATATCGATTTAAAGCCGATCGAATTTGGAATTTTAATATGTAACATAATACTAACGATAGAATGTAAAAATAACAACATATATATATATATAAACAGCTGAAAAAATAATATCACTTAGATAATATCGTAGTATCAGGATGTTCGAAAAAAAAAGAAAAAAAAAAAAAAAAAAAAAGAAGAATAAAAAAAGAAAAACGAAAATCGTCGGAAAATTAATTTGACATTCGTCATAATTTCTCAAAAAAAAATTTGTACATACCAATGAATTCCTTTTCTTTTCTTTACTTTTTCTCCTTTTCTTTTTTTTCTTTATTTTTTATTTATTTATTTTTTTTTTTTTATATTGTTAAAGTTTCCTCGGTATCTTTTGTAAGCAGAAAGGAATAACAACGTAGCGGAAGAAAGCAAAGAGAAGTAAGGGGGGTGGGAGAGGAGGATGGGAAGGGGTGGTGGTGGTGATGGTGGTGTGGCTGTTAAATATCAAATATTTATGAACCACTTGACCCAATTACGCGACACAAAAGAATACCATGAATTTCGAGTAAAGTCCGGCAAATTGCATGGTTGAAACATTTATGCTCGCTTGCACATATACACTCTGCCAGCCCATATGTCCCTTGTATTTTACATGTAAACTAAAATAGATAGGAGTTAGAGCAAAAAAAAAAAAAAAAAAAAAAAAAAAAAATAGATAGGAGATAGAGGGGCGGGAGGGAGGGGGCGGAGGGAGGGTAGGGAAGGGGGATGGGAGGGAGAAAAAAAAAAGACAAATAAAGGGAATGAGAATAGGATAATTATCTGCGAGCTTTTTCATCGAGCCACGAACGATTAGGACGATGAAAGAAAATGAAAAGAAATTTATCGGAACGTTCTTAATCGTTTTCGTTCTTTTTTTTTATTGTTTTTCTTTTTTTTTTTTGTTCTTTGTTTTTTGTTTTTTCTCCTCTCTTTTTTTCCTTTTTTTTTTTTTATTTTTTTTTTTATTTTTTTCTTTTGTTCTACGCGTTATCGCAAGTCATGACTTACATTTTATGTGAATTGTAAGCATCTTTTTTTTTCTTTCGTTCTTTTTTATCTTCGCCTTTTTCTTTTTTTTTTTTTTTTGATATTACTTCACATTATTTTCTTAATATTTTAATATTATTAAGAAGAATTTATAATTTTTTTTTTTTTTTTTTTTTTTTTTTTTTTTTTTTTTTTTTATATTTATTATGATATTCTTAAAACGTACAACTACGAAAGTATATTAATTTAAGCATTCATTTTTATCAATTAGAATATTATAAAAAAAGAAGAAGAAGAAGAAGAGAAAAAGAGAGAGAAAATATATGATCAATCAAAGAAATAAATATCTAAAGATAATATTGTTTAATTCGATCAATTGTCAATCAGAGTTTCGTTTAATTTGTTTGCAAAAATTATGAAATTACGTATAGACAATGTATCGATTATATAACGAAAATTTCCAAATGACGAACTTTTTTATGTCGAATGTTTGATGTTAACATTAAAAAAAAAAAAAAAAAAAAAAAAAAATAAAATAAAATAAAATAAAATAAGATAATCTACGTATAAAAGAGACATATCCAATATGTAATAATTAATACGTATAAAATCTCTCATAACTATGTAGTCGACGTAATTGTTAATTAATTATTAATTAAGTTAATTAAAAGCATTTATAAAAAAAAAAAAAAAGAAAAAAAGAAGTAATAAAAAGCAATGTAGAAAAGAATGTGAAACGATACGAATATAAAATTATTTTTATACTTTTTAATAATATACATTTAATGTAATTATTAATTAATGAAGAATTTTAAATTAGTTCGTCCAAAGGAAAGACTTCGATCAGAACGAATATGTAGGACTAATGTCGACAAACAAATGTCAACGTCCTTTGATATCTCACGTTTATATCAAAATGGAAATATATCTTCTCTACGCGAAACAAAACAAAACAAAACAAAAAAAAAATATATAT